TATATAAGAGAAAAACATTATGCAAAAACTATTTATTTATAAATTAATGTTAGCTCGAATGTAAAAGAATATTCAAAAGTTATTTCTATATTATTTTTCCGAATTAGATTAGGAAAGAAAGTGTAAAGACTTTAAGAACACAAACATTTCAACTATTTACTTAAGCAAAAACACAATTGGCAAAGCTTAAGAAGAATAAACTGGCAATTTCTTAGCTTTAGCAGTTAAGTTGAATAACTTGGCTTGTAGAAAGATCATTCTAGTAACTTATATTATATTATAGTACTTTGTACATTTGGTTTGCCCCGTTCTTAACAGTATAATTAATAAATTCCATGTTCTTCTAACACCTGAAGAAAAATAAATCTACTTAGTGACATGTTCGTAAGTTAATAAAAAGTGAGACTAGAAAAACGAGTAGATTTAACATGCCAGCTTGTAAGAAAGTTGCCCATCGAACTGGAACTCGAACAGAACTTGAATATTTTGAAATGAGGTTAGAAAAAATGTACAATACATGAAAAATAAAACTTGTTTAGTTTTGCCAAAAGTTTACAAAACATTGAATTTGACATCTCTCTATATAAAACTAAAATCTTATTTTTTTTTTTTTTTAAACTTATATATATATTTTATTGTTAACCAGATCACTAATACCTAATATGGCAGCTTAAGCTAGTTATACATGGGGAAAAAATTTAATAAGACTTACTACTAATTAGTCTAAGGTGTATAAAAATATATAGCGAAAAGTTTTATTTGTATATTCTACTTTTATATTATAATAAAGCGGTATGTATTATAGGACCCTGTTAGGTAGATCCAGTAGATGGCACCGTTTAAGTTTTTTTTTTTTTGCCCTAAAGAGACAGGCTCCTGCAATGGGGCATCTTATTCAAGTTCTTCCAGGAGAAATAAAGCGCCTTGCTAGTGGGTTGGATTGGGAGCGAATGCGCTCAAAGTACTTTGAGAACTCCAAGGTCTCTCGCGATGTCCCTAGTACGCATATACCAAGGGGCATTATTTATCCTTGTAAGAATTTTGCTCTGCGCTGCTCTTATTTTGGTCAGGTGGGATTTTGCGGGAATCCCGTACATTTGCAGTGCATATGTCCATAGAGGAGTCAGTATTGATTTGTAAATCCTTACTTGTGACATGTCTGCTGGAGCTGAGCAACATTACCCCTGGACAGGATTCTCTCCTAGTAGCGAATGTGATATTTGCGCATTTTCTACTATTGATGCTGATATTTTATTCTTAGGCTCATGTTTTGAAGCTACCCAGATATTCTTCAACCGACTCTGTGGCAGTGCCTAGTAGAGGACCTCTAGTCAGCATTCCAGCTGAGAAGCTACTCACCAACTGGAACAATTGTGGCGTTAAGAGGTTCTTCAATTTATTGAGAAGCTCAGGGTGACAAACTATATCGAAGGCTTGTTGAACAAATCTTATACAATATCCAACGCTCGAATGTTTACTTTTCTCATATGTGCGGAAATCGTTTATTGGAGTTCAAGATAATGCGGGAGATTTAAATTTTCCATATATGCAAAGGTAATATCTATCATTGCAAAATTGGCAACGGGCAAAGCCGGGTAATACCCACTAGTTCTCTATAAATCGACATTCTAGTCTTCAAAGTCGTTAAATTTGTACAAATTATACAAATTTCGACTTGTTCATGCCCTAATGTATTCATGTCATAGTCCACAAGTAAATCAAGTAACCCTTTTTTACTTAAAGAGTAAATCAAACAGTTGATTTGGGCTAATTGCAAAAGCATTTGTGATCGCGGTGCCACTGTGCCGCGATAAGAGAGGAAATTTGTTTTTGGCCTTTGCTTATTTTAATGTTTTCTGTGAGCTGACTTTTACTATAAGCTAATAGACAAACATAAACAAACAGAGAGTTCAGGTGTACTATAGGCGAGGGCTTAACACACACACACACATGTGCACACATTTGTAACAAAAATACCATTCATATGCTGATATCATCTGAACTAATGTGAATCGATTTCTTTTGTCATTTTAGAGGTCGTAGAACCTAATAAATTCTATTTTAGTGACTGCTATTTTAATGTAAATACAAGCAATCAGCTTTATATTAAGCACAAAACAAAGCGAAACAATAAATATTTGTATTCTGTGCTATTTTTATAAAGAATCTTATTATTCTTAATAGATATACGTTGTTTCTGCAATCCAAATGATATTAGGGAGCAATTCAACGAATTAGCAAATAATCAAAGAGCAATATATATATATATATGTATATTTAGAGCTATAGCAAATCCTTTTTGTAAAACATAAAATATGTTCTTTACAATAACTTCTAGTTCTAAATATTTATTACCAAAATTCATCAAATAAACAAATGTTATTCTATATGCTAGTATTATTTAAGTATATGGTTCCTCTAGCAAAATCGCTTGGTTCTTAAAAAGTCTACTTCTAGTATTTCGAAAGGGAAATAAAAGAAAATGTAGATCTTAGTGATTAATTGATTTAGATAAATAATCAGCCTTTCACGTTTGCTGCCAAAAAAAAGTAAAATGTATAGCTCCAGAGATTGGAGCTTTACGAGCGATCACCGTACTTGTCTACAGTTCTATGTATTTGCTTTCCAAAAATAAAACAAACGAGAATTTTAATTAAAAAGTCAATTCGTAACGACCTTACTGAGATGCAAAACGCTTTAGCTTTTCAGCCATAGCCATTCCAGTCGCCGCCAGACTATTCCATATTACGTTTTACGCTATTCTCTACACATGCACAGTTATTTGACCCTATTGACTGAGCCGTTATATGCCAAAAAACGTTTGATTAGCTAAATGCCAATTGGAACACGAAACCGCCATCTATCAACAAACTGTGCTGCGTTTTCAATGCCAATAAGAAAGTCGCGTGCAGAACGGCTTATAACATATTTATGAGTGCTTTAATATAAGTTGTTGTTGTTGTTGCTGCTGCTGCTGCTACACGTATCTGTTGCTTGGGGTTATTTTTTGGTATCTGGTTTGCCGATAAGCGCACAAAATTCATGTTGAACAACGCGAGCAACAACAACAATGACCGAAAAGGCCGAGTGACGATTTTGTTTACATTTTTGGTGTTGTTGTTGTTGTTGTAGTCGACAGATTTTCTAATAAACCATTTAGAACCGGTTTTCTTTTTTTGTGATACTCATTTTCAAGGAGCCAAAAAGGGTATATTGCAGTAGTGCACATGCTTGTAACAGGAGGCATCAATTTATATATATATTCTTGATCAGCATATACAAATTCGATCTAGACATGCTCGCCTGCCAAAACATGAAAATAGGTTGGTTTGGTGGGGCTAATGGGAAGAACCCAAGCTGTAATCTAAGTACAGGGTATCTACTGGTCGGTTTTTGGTGGATTAGAGCACTATAGATTTTCCATTTTATTTTTTTGTGAACGGTTTCGGCTTTGGACTTTTTTTTTGCTTTTGCTTTAGTCTCACTACCACGAAGAAGAAGCAGCAGCAGCGGCAGATTCGAGAGCATCAAATTTCATGCTGCACACACACACACACACACACACACACACACGCACGCATGCCTATGTAGTTGTGTAAAAAAAAAGCTTGTTTTTAACAAAAACGAAGCTCTTTCATTTTAAGGGACAGGAACAAAGACAACAACAGCAACAACGGCAAGCAACACTTTTAATGGGCTGGCAAGGGGTAAGATTTTTGGTCATAGATTAGCATAAAGCACACACACATGCATAGGCAACAAAAGCAAACCACAATGCACAATAACAATAACAATGCTCTTGCCAAATGAAAGAGAGAGCAGAGCAGAGCCAAACACCTCACTCCCTTTATTTCACCATGTTCCATTAAGGTGGTGTTGTCATTTTGGCTATTAAAAATGTAACATGAAAATTTGGAAAAATTATGATAACAGCAAGGAATAAAAAAAAAAAAACTAAACAATTCAATTTGTTTAGTACTGATATTACGTATTTAACAACTTAACTAGCAATTGTATTCTTTTCAATATTTAGCTTTTTTTCTGCCATTTAAATTCTGGCAACACTGTTGTTGTCAATAAACCGTTCCCACTCACTCACACACGCACTCACCTTCAATGCAAACGACGTGATCGCGTATCTGTTGGGCAATCTGTGCGTCCGGCATGGGCAGCAAATCGATTAAATCGTAAATAGCATAAATCGATGGATGAACGCTCTCGAAGCGCTGTATCTCCTGGCGTATGGCCAGCGAATTGCTTATCAGCGGCTGCGGCAGTTGCGTTACCAAAATTGAGGCAGCAGCAGCAGCGGCGGTCGCAGCCGCAGACGACGTTGACTGGCTTTGGTTGGTTGTGGGCGTATGATTATGGCGCCGCTGCTGCTGCTGCTGCTGTTGCTGTTGTTGTTGTTGGGGGAGCGCTGCTGCCGTCGTCGTCGTCGTCGCTGCCAACTGTAAATGTGGCGGCAGATGCTGATGATGATGTTGCTGAAGATGAAGATGATGATGGTTCTGTTGTAGCTGGTGCTGCAGCTGCATTTGCTGTATATGCGACAGCGACGCGTGCGGCTGATAATTGCTCATTGCGCACGAAATTAGCCAACGTTTTTTTAATTAACTTCAATTACTTTGCCCGAGATGCCGATAGAGCCCCAAAAAACAAACGTAAACTAAACGCGCACACACATATACACACACGCACACGTATACGCACAGGCAATGGCACAATTTTCGCTAAGTGAGTTGACAGCACACAACAACATATTTGCCATACAGCAATTACACGAACAACAATAATTGCGAACTGTGAACAGAGATTATTATAAATTTTACACCTGTTTCACACATAAATAACGATTTTTAAAAACGCACTCAGAACACTTGCACTGACTGTGGCCCGTGCTTATGTGATGGTGTGACCAGAGGTGGCGAGCATAAAAATGCCTGCATTCATTTTCTCAAAAATACCAATAAGTGCCGGCATAGAATCGAGTACTTTGTCGCAACGCATGTCGTAATACTTATTACAAATTATTATTAAATAAAAATAACAGAATTATGGCACAAAGCAGATTGGAAAAAATTGGCACTATTTTTACCAGGTAAGTACACCCGGAGCTAAACGTTAACGTGTTAATCTTATAGCAATTTTATAGAGTCCAGGGCCTGCTGCGCGGTGGAGCCATGAAAGCGGAGGACAAACCCATCTGGTACGATGTCTATGCGGCGTTTCCGCCCAAACTTGAGCCACGTTTCGACAGACCCGCCTCAGATATACCAGTGCGTACTATATTCTATGCGGAGGATGTGGTTCGCGCGTAAGTTAAAGCGACATTAGCACTACCATGAGACTGGTCTAATATTAATCTTCCACAGCAAACTGCACAAGCAGAATAAGCCCCACGAGACCATTTCGCTGTTCGACCACAAGCGCGGCACACAAAGCCAGCAGTTTTTGCAAATCTATGAACAACTAAAGTCGCAGGGCGCATTAGATGACCAGCGCATTTACGAAACGGCTTTGGATTTGCTTGCGGAGCAGCGGAAACAGTCGCGCACGGATGTGACCGAGGATAATCTGTTAGCCGGCGAGAGCGAGCCGGAAGAGCCCAGCAAGCGCACACTGCTCAGCGATTTTCAAGAAGCCGGCGAGCAGCAGCTGCAGCAACAACAGACGACGCCTAGCAAAGAGAAAAAGGAATCCACCCCGGCCATTAACATACAAAGCTTGTTCAAAGATTAGGCTCCGTTTTATGTTATAAACTAAATATACAAAAAAGGATTGTTTTTAGACCGCAAGCGCATCGTTTTGCGACTCGTGGCTAAGTTGCGTCTGTAGATTGGAGAGCTTGTTCTTTAGCACCTGCACGCCCATTATGACAATATTCTCGGGCTTTAAAGCTCCCGAAGATTCCACATTGAAGAAAAATTTATTTGGTTTGGCCTCCCAATTATATGGTGCCTCATACTGGTCATCCTCCAGCTCAGTATGCTCACTTTTCGGCCACTCATCGGGCTTGGGATAAAGCGTGTGTCGCATCGAATTATCCGGATCGTATTCAAAGCAAACACCCGCTGTGGGATTCCATTTGGCGTGCTCCTTGCCGAAGCCCTTTTTGGCATAAGCGCGTAGCTTAAGCTCCTGTCCTTTTCGCAGTTTGATTATAAGTATCTCATCCGTACTCTCGCCATATTCGTTGTCCTCCTCGCCCTGATTGCGTGAGGTTACAGGCAGCACCTTCGCATTGCTGGACTTTAAGTCGGCGGTAGTCACGTGACGTGTCTGCTCCTCGTTGCACTTCACGTCGAGCGTAAACTCGACGCTGCATTCGGGACAAAAGTCCAGGCAGATGCAATCGCGTGTATACTGCAATCGCTCCACCACGTCGTCGGATATCAAAGGAATTAGGCCAATGCGATGTGCCAGGAACTCATCCGACAGCACCGTGGAATTCGCCTCCAGCTGCACCCAGTCTATGGCAAGTGTCGGTGTTTCGGCAATGAAAACGCGACGCAAACTGTTCGCAACGCTCAATTCCGTATCCTCGAGCACAAACTTAACATTGTCGTCCGTCAGCTCGGTTATTTGCACAGATGGTTGATTAGCGTACGGCATTTTTACCGCACTTTTTTATAGTCAAAGAGAATAAACAAATAAACAGCGCTAAAATGCCGGAAAGCGGTAAGAGGCGATAAAGCGATAGCAGCTACTCATTTCATCCTATCGATAAATGAAAAACAACTATCGAATACCAGAGTAGGACAGCTCAAGGAAGAAAATAATATTTTGAAGACTGCAACTTAACATTAAAAATTCAGTTAGCCGGGACTAATACATTCCGATGTTATTATTTAGAAAATAAGAACTGTTTTTCTTAAATGTCAGCTTTTCCAGATCTGCCCTAATACACTTACAACCACTCTACTATATATCGAATGGAAGCATCGATTAATTTAATATTTTTCACTAATCTATACGTCAAACGTTTTGTAACACTAAACAGTTCATGAGTCGCGCGACAATGTTGCGAATTTCTGCTCGGTTTTATTGCAAAATTGCAACTCAATCCAGTTTTAAAGCGGCCGAGTACAAAACCAAAATAAAAAAAGATAAAAAACTGAATTTTACGCAGCTACTGCATCCGACAAAGGTACCACAGACGCCCATACCGGCGGCTTTTCCGGACCCCTCCGAAAACGCCATCGAAATAGATACCAAAACAATTCAATTGCTAGAGCGTTTATCGTTGGTGGATCTGGACAGTGACCAGGCGCTGGCCACGCTCAAAAGCAGTATACAATTTGCCGATAAAATAGCGCACATAGATACGCAAAACGTGCGCCCACTGTACACGGTGCTGGAGAGACAGCAGCTGCAGTTACGCAACGACCAGGTTACAGCGGGCGATAGCCGAGCAGAGCTGCTGCGCTGCGCCAAGCGGACAGACGAGGATTACTACGTGTCACCGCCGGGCAACATACCGCTGGAGCAATAATAAGCATGTCCAATCGCCTGGGCCGCTGCCTCAAATCTCTGGAAACCACTGGCTTCCTGCGCTGCTCAAATGATGCAACCACTCCCCATATAGAGCTGTTGACCCATGGTTCTGCTTATGCCCAGCAGCTGCTGCAACATTGGCTCAACATGCGCCACTTGGCTGTCAATTTGGGCAGCGTTTCCTCTAACGAATCACTTAGCCAGTCGCGTTTCGCCTTTGTGCATGGCCAACAATTTCGCCAGCAGCTGCAACAGTTGCGCCAGACACATTCCAGCAAAGCCAAATGCCCCACGCTGCTGAAGCAACAACTTAGGTGCACATCCTACAACCCGCCAGGCCAAAATATCTTCCAACACGCGCAGCCTGTCACACAGTTGATCACAGATTTCTATGTGGAGCCGCATCGTGGACTGGAGCACTTTTACAATGTGCAGCGGGAGAGTAAAATCTGGTGGATGCGATACTCCTCCAATCCCAGTCGCTATGCCATTGTGCCGCAAACCGAATTGGAACAAGGTGCAGGCTGCCAGGCGATAGACATACGCGCTGCCTTCGGGGATGCGGGCGCAGTGACTGTAGAGCAGCTGAGTCTAGTGCCCTTGCCGGAGCATCAGGATTTCCAGTTGCCCGATGCGCGCACTGGCCAACTCCAATTACCTGCAGTCATACGCTCTGTGATCGAACTGGAGACAGCTAGCTGTGCCCTACTGCTGGACGGCTGTGATCACGGACGAGAGACTCGATCGCTGCTCCTTAATCGCCTGCTGGCGCCTTATCAATGCGCGATTACAGCCATACAAAAGACTGAGCACAGCTCACAGGATCTGCGCGACTTGTGTGCCCATCTGGCGGATGTGTTACAGCGTGTAAGTTTGCGCTTGCAGGGAACTGGCTATGTGCTGGCCGGGAATAGGCAACAGCTGACACAGCAGCTAGAGCTATACGACTGCCTGGGCGTACCCTATGCTCTGCTCCTGGATGAGCAGCAAGCGCTGAGCAATGGACTGCTGCAGTTGCGCAGCCGCGACACGCAGCTGGCGGAGACCGTGCACATAAGCGATTTACCCGACTATTTGTTAAATATTTTTAGAAACTATTAAATGCCTAATATACATACATATGGATATTGATACGAGTTTTAAAAATTTCTTTATTCAAAAGACAATACAATATTTCCACTCTGCTCTGGATACTATCAAAGCATTGACCCCCCATGGCTGTCATTTAATATACACATATTAACTTAATAATAGTAATAATACAATCCATAAAAGTTTACATAAAATCGCATAGATATTGACGCACGTTGAAGCCAACAACTTTGCCTATATAAATGACGAATTCAAGACCCACGGTGCACTGCAGCTTGGCGGAGCCATCCATAATGTTTTGCTCGCCCGAGACAAAGCTGAGCAATTTGAGATGCACCAGCGTGGAGATTTGCGACAGCAGATTGCATGTAAGACCCACCTTTTCCTCCAGGATGGCATAGAAAATAGCCAGCAAGCGATCAATGCTAAAGGATTTGGGACCCAACGTTGTAGACATCTTCTCCGCATTCTGTTAGACAGTTAGATAGCATTAAGGTACATAACTGAACAGAGTTTACAAAGTGCTTACCTTGGCTCTGGCATTGACCGTCTGCATGCGCTTGCGCTGCTTGCCATGCTGCTTGACAAACAGGCGCTTGTCCTGCTTTGGCGAGTTGTGGCTGGCCAAGAAGGCGGCAATGAGCAGAAATTTACCATAATAGGGCAGCTCCAGCGACTGGGCCAGCTTGCGCACACTCTGATCCTCAATATTCGGCTCACCCAGAGGTTTATCAATGCGCATGTAGATCTGGGTTAGAGCCGAGCGCAACGGTCCAGCTATGTGCCGCCAGAGACGCGACACATCCGTGCACTCCACGCTGCCATCCAGCACGGGCTGCATGTATATCGCAAAACATTTACGGGCGGTCAGCCGCAACTCGGGCACATCGCGACACGCCTTGTAAAAGACACTGAGAAAGAGATTCAAATAGTTGGTATAGAATTCCGGCGTCAAGGCCTGCTCGCACAGGGCCAAACGCTGGCCATCGCCTGTCAGTTGTTGTTGCTGCAGCATTTGGTGTCGCATCTGTTCAAAATCACTGCTGAGTATGCGCAACGCCTCCGCCTTGTTGTACTGAGCCAAATGCAAGCTAATGATCTCACTGAGACCCGTCTTGTTGTAGTACTTCTCAAAGGGCAGCTGCGAGAGCAGCAGCACACACAGATTGAGACTGGTCAACTCCTGCAGGCGCAACAGCACAGGCAACACATTGGCATCCATATCACGCAGCCGCTCCGCATTGTCCACAGCTATGAGGAATCCTCGGGCGCTGCTTCCATGCCAGCGACGCAGTTGCTCCACAAATTCCAGCATATTGTCGGCACGCAGCGGGCTTGCACCCAACTGCTGCTCTTTCTGTGCCAGTGTGTCCAGCACATTTTCCAGCAATATTTTAGTCGTATAGCATTCGATGGCATTCAGCTGGGCAGTGCACACCTTTTGCTGCTGTTCGCATTGCTGGAGGAAGGCTTTAGTCAGCGAGGTTTTGCCTGTGCCGCTGTGGCCGTATATATAAATGGCAGGCGGATAGCCCTCATTGCAGTCCCCTATTAATTCGCTCAGAGTTGTTATGGCCGTCTCGCGGCAAGGAAATTGCGGTTCCAATGCAGCACAAATCCGCTCCATTTGTTTACTTCTTATTAACTACTGCAGCTGGATGCATTGCGCGCGAAAAACCAGGGATGCGCCAATAACTGTCAAGCTGCTGATCCAGAGGCGCGAAATCCGCTCCATTTGTTTACTTTTGTCAACTACTGCAGCTGGGCGCGTTTCGCGCCAAAAACCAGGGATGCGGGATAACTGCTGATCTAGAGGCTAATGTAACGATATATCGAAAAAGAATTCATCGTTATTACAGAAAATTTTATTTATTTTTTGTAAGCAAAAAGCTAACAATAATTACTTTTTGCTGGAAAAGGTGCTTTCACCCTTTGTTTATCTTAGGTAAAAAAACAGTGTACTTTGTTCGTCCAAAACATCTGTCCGGCTACTGAAAACGCCCAAGCTTTCGTAAACCTTATATATTAATATCTTTATATCAGCTTTTTCCCCCATGGTAAATGATATAAATAAGTTCCGTTATTTGAATAAAACATTGATACTTGCGTTCCACAAATATCGAGTGAACAGCAGTGAGTGTTCGATAAACTTTGTTTTTACGCTTCACAACACTAGCCACCAAAGGTGATTAATTCTTGCATTTTATCAAATTTGTGAACGCTTGAAAAACTTTGCGTTTTCTTCAAATTTGGCGCAGGTAAACCAAAGTTTCACTTTGCACCAACGCTAGCTTAATCGTGTAGACGGCCCAGAGTCCGCGATTAAAACTAGAATAAACACAGAGACGTGCACACCAAAGCCTGCAAAAAACAACGCCCAAAAAGAAAACGGAGGCAACTACGTGTGTGGTTCAAATTTTAAGCTGCATTTATTAAATAAGTTTTGCAATGGCCGAGAAATACACGTTTGGCAGCACGCCGGCTTCCATCACGTGCCACGCCTGGAACAAGGATCGCACGCGTAAGTGACACATTTGTTGAGCAATACAACAAAGTAGAGCTCTCATTTAATCTATGACTCACTTTTGACTCAGAAATTGCTTTATCACCGAACAACCATGAGATTCATATCTACAGCCGAGAGGACAGCGGCTGGAAGCTAGCCGACGTTCTTAACCAGCACGATTTGCGCGTTATGGGCATCGATTGGGCCAAGAATACCAATCGCATAGTTAGCTGTGCCGCTGATCGTAATGCGTACGTCTGGACTCAGGCCGATGATGGCAAGTGGAAGCCAACTCTGGTGTTGTTGCGTATCAATCGGGCCGCTACCTGCGTCAAATGGTCGCCGGCAGAGAACAAATTTGCTGTTGGCTCTGGAGCGCGACTCATTTCGGTCTGTTACTTTGAATCGGAGAACGATTGGTGGGTCTCGAAGCACATTAAGAAGCCCATACGATCCACGGTCACCTCGCTGGACTGGCATCCGAATAATGTGCTCCTCGTGGCTGGCTCCACGGACTACAAGGTGCGCGTTTTTTCGGCTTTCATTAAGGACATTGAGGAGCCGCCAACAACAACATCCTGGGGTAATCGCAAACCGTTGGGTCAGCTCATGGCTGAGTTTAAGAACTCGTCCACATCTGGCGGCGGCTGGATCAATAACGTGAGCTTCTCGAGCGATGGCAACAAGGTGTGCTGGGTGGGCCACGACAGCTGTGTGAGCATTGCGGATGCTACCAATGGCAATACGGTGATACGCTGCCGTACCGGCTATTTGCCTTTCCTCTCCTGCGAATGGGTCTCACCCACCTCGGTCGTTGTGGCCGGCTACAGCTGCGTGCCCCTGCTGTACAGCCTAACCGCGGACAATAAACTTGTGCTGAGCGGCAAGCTGGATAAATCCCAGAAACGCGAGGCTAGCGGTATTACAGCCATGCACTTCTTCAAGTCAATGGATTGCAATATGCGCACAGAAAACACGGATGTGGTCGTGGACTCCATACACCAGAATGCTATAACGAGCATACGTTTGTATGCCGGAGATAAGGCTAACGCCAGCAAGGTATCAACCTCTGGCGTCGATGGTCAGCTGGTCATCTGGACCGTCGAACAGGATGGCATTAATGGCGGCATGCGTAAAATGCAGATTTAAGTGCATCCTGTACATGTTGTTGGAGCATTGTTTTCCTTCTTGTATGTTTTGTGTGTTTCATCTGATCTGCAAGCTATTTTTTTTTGTTAAGAACAAAATGTTGATTGCAGGTCAGGTGCACAGTATTTTGCCAAAATGTTTTCAAAATCGCTTTTCCAATTGTTTATCGTATGAAAGCTTTTTATATATAATAATTTTTAACGCAAATAACTAAAGAGATTATGTTCTTTAATTCTTCCAACTCATAACATATGCTGTGTATGTATTTTAAACTGTTTCTTTTTATTATCTATAGCAACAAGTGAAACTATTTGAATTACTAAAAAACGGTTTTTGAAATGCTTTTCAGTCTGGGGCATACATTAAAACGATTTATTTGTCTTAATACTAGTATCGATGCAATAGACACGGAAGAATTACATTTGTAACATGAAAAACGATACTTATGATAAAATATTGATTTGGTGGATTGGCTTCTCTTTTCCCAAATAATGTGAGATATAATTAAATCAAAATTAAATTTGCCGCAGATAACATTGAACAAAAAGTATTTAGAGCTACAGAACAGGTGAGCTGTAAACTAATGAGTACTTTTTCGTGTAACTCAATCGGGCCATAAGTAAATGTCGTTTCACTCAAATAAATAACTCATTTTTCGATACTTGTGGCGGCAAGCCGATATGTAATTCCGATAGTATTTGACTTATTGCTGTGCGCGCTGGGTTTTCGCGACTTGTATTTTAAAAATAGTTATGGTTTTATTTGTTAATTTGTAATGCGCCTGCTACGTTGCTACGCCACCAAAGCCGGTCGGGAACATTACGCCAGCAGTAACGTGAAGATATTTCGCAAGCTTCCAAGCAAAACTAAACTCAAATCAAAACATGCGCTGCCAACGACATCGACGACGTCGCCGGCAAACGTTGAATACGCTGAGAATTTGGTAAAAGTGCAGATGATCTCGCATAATTTACATCGCCAACTCTTTCCACAGGCCAAACGAGAATACACGAATTCAGAGCGTGTCGCTGCCAAATTGTATAATGCAGAATTGCAGCGTCATGGCATTGATGTGGCCAGCACAGAGCCCATGCCGGATGTGAAATTGAAGCTGCCGCCGTTGCGCGGCAAAAACATTGAAGAGCACTTTCATGCCATAGCTAAGGAGCAAGTGGCTCCGTATGAGGCACTACTGCAACCGCTAGTTGCCTGCCAGCAACTGCCTGCAAAGCCCAAACGCTGGGCCTTCTATGCTGGCTGGACGGCCTACGATCCAGTGGACGGCAGTGCCACGCCAGTGCCGCAGCCACTAGAAAAAGGAATCATTTTCGATGTGGAGGTGTGTGTGCGTGAGGGCAGCGCCCCT